ATGTACAGCTTACAATTGTTTAATAAAGCACACATAACTAGCCTGACAGAGGGTTATAATTAAAAAAAAAAAAATAATATATAACTTAATATATAAAATTTTAAAAAAAAAAAATTAAAAATATTATTAATTAAATATAAATTATTTTAATTAAAAATTATTTTATAAAACTAAAATATTTATATTAATTTTTTTGTCCCCTACTGTATATGAAAACCGTGAAAGTACACAAAATTTAATTAGATTCTCATTTTTTAAATTAAAATAGCAATATCAATCAGTTCTGGAGTTACACTGAAAAAAGACTGTATTATGTAAAATTAACATCACACTTCAAAACCAATCCCAGAAGATCACTGTTTCGCAATTTGATTGGATGATGGTAAAAATGTCTGCCGAAACTCGTTCTTGTAACCAAACTGAAAAACGCCTTGTGGCTTTCAGCTTTCTCATTAAAATCACCGAAATCACTGCGCTCATAGACGTTACCAACGCTTGGCGGCCTCGTTACATCAATCATTAATTATATAATACCGGAATTCAGAATATAACCCCTGTTCATACATCCTCTATCCACTTTAATTTCACATGGCTACCAAAGCTGCATATAAAAGATTGACCAAGGAGTATGCAGCTCTCCAAAAGGTGTCTTTAACGAAACTTTTCATATATCCCCTTGACTTGTTATCCCTGGTTGTGTAAATTGTGGTTTACGAAAGTGTAATCTCTCACGATTTTCAATTAGAATCCGCCACCATACTTGATAGCCAAGCCACTGGAAAACAATATTCTGGAGTGGTATTGTGTCTAAGAGCTTATTTATGTGCAGGTGCTTTGATGAAATGGAACCATTGGGAATCTAAATATTATATTTCACGTTTACAGGCATTACGTTCTTCGTGGACCCCCAGACACACCTTATCATAATGGAGAATATCACGGTGAGGCGTTGTGAAGATAATGGTCTTGTTGTGTTATTGTCAACGTTGTATAAAAATTTGGGGTCAATTAATATCAAACAGGTGTTCTATTGTTCCCTGCCGAGTATCCTTTCAAACCCCCATCCATTCGAATGACGACTCCTTCGGGTATTTAATTTTAGCACATCTAATTCGACACAATAACGCACACCAACTTCCTTTTCTTTTCTTTTTTTTAACTAACTCAACCGCGTTTGTCAACTCAATATAAGGGCGATTCCAACCGGACGCTAGGTTGTGTTTGTCTATGTCTGATTTTCATCCAAGCACCTGGAATCCTAGCTGGAGCGTTGCAACCATTTTGACCGGTCTATTGAGTTTCATGGTTTTGTATTTATTTATTTTTTGCATTTTCCTAGTTTTTATATTGCTTCGCTTTTCGGTCGTCCTTAACGGTGAAGTTCACTTTGTGGCCGTCACAATTGTAGACGAGCAATGAAGCTACCACGGGGAGTATCAAGACAACAGACTCTGATAAAAGGATATATGCCGCACGGTCGCATCAATTCAACCTGAACGATCCAAAGTTTAAAGGTAATTAATGCACGAACCTTGCGACATGTTTTTTTTTTTTGCGTATGTAACGCGTGATGTTTGAATTGGTTTCAGAAATTTTCACGGAGCTTTGTACTCCCGAAGCGGTACCCGTCGAAATCCTTTATCCCATCAACAAGTCATCGTCCAGTAGTAGTACTCCCGTGGCGGCCTCCACCGGAGACAAACAGTTGGTTCGTCCCGATCCTCAGGCACCGCAACAGAATGATCACGGCGCGGTCAACCAGCAACTGGCCGCGAGAAACGCTCTTTTGCAACGTAGACCCCAAAATCGAGTTGATAACCACGTGATGCGCGGCATCACAGCCGGGGTAATTGCCGCACACGCGGAACATGTTAACAACAACACAGTCCGAAATCATGTCAATCCCATTGTTCCACAGACTAATAACACCAACAACAACAATAATAATAACGTTGTGGGTCAACGACGGCTCTTAGATCAATGGCGTAAATGGATGATAGTGTCGTTGGTATGTCTCTACCTTGTGATAACAAAATTACTCGCGCGAAGTTCTGAAGCCGTTTCAGGTAGTCCTGATAGTGGGGCACCTCGTACGTGATGTATAGGTTCCTCCTTGAGTTCACCGATAAAAATGTTGAACTAAAATCTTGTTGATGCACTTGTCGAAAGAATGCTCAGGTAATAACCACCCGATTAAACGATCAAAGAAAGTGTCATCTCAATTTATTCGCGAGTATAGCATAGTAGTTCTCTTTGATAATGTTGCAATAGTAAGAATTGGAAAAAGGGAGTGGGCTCTGTAAATTGGATTTCATACATACATTTAAGAAACCCTTATATAAAATATATATACAGTATATTTATTTATGTATGGAGAAGCAACGCAAGGGAGAAGATATAGGGTTTTCACGTGCGTTGTCAATTGGAGGCGCATCACATGATCTACTGCATTAAACAAACATTCTTAAGGATTTATCCACATGAAATCAATTATGTTTTAGATTTAATATATATGTTTTCCTAAATAAGTGATACCCTTTATGCATGTGATAAAATAGCTGCATACATTGATGCATGTAATATAAATAGCGCAAATTTATAAAGAAAACGCAGGAAGCAGTTCGAGAAAACGGCGGTCTTCATTATCGCTTGTGGCGAGAAAATAGATTATATTGTGCAACAGTGTGTTCACACAAAGTTTCCAACAAAGTTTTGGCCACCTCTGTTTCGTCGAATGATTATAATATAAATATTATCCGAAATTTTTTGAACCATCCTACCACAAACGGTTTTCATTTCTTATTGCAAAAATCCTTAGTTATATAAACGCCTTTTCACATTTGTATAATATTTCCTAACCAATTTCATGCCCAAAAGTAATAGTTCTCTGAAGACCATGTCTCCTTCCCGACAGAGGGACGTGGTAAGACCTCGTAGCTATGTATTCTGTTATTATGTCTCCGGCCATGGTATGAATCTAAGCAATTTCAAGTCTCTCAGTTTTGCCTTCAAAGAATACCCTTCGTACTTACATCTTAATGCCACAGCATTAACCTTTGTTGTCTTTTAATGAAGGTTACGGACATGCGACCAGAGTCGTTCAGGTGGCCTCGGAAATCCTTTCCCTCTCCCGAAAACATACTCTATATATAATTTCAAATGCTCCACGATTCATTTTTCAAGGAGCAATAGACCGTGGTGCAAAATATAGACATGCACTCATAGACGCCGGGGTCCAACAACCCAGGGCATACACAGTCGATAGAAAGCAGACAATAGACGATTTAAAGGTGTTCCTCCAAAATCGACCTGAAATGATCGTTCGGGAAGCCGGATGGTTGAAGGAAGTGAAGGCCGATGTTGTTTTATCCGACGCACCATTTCTGCCTTGGTGAGTTAACCGAGCCTTTAGTTTTGGTGAGAATTTAATTGGAGTTTTCGTGGAATGAAGAATGGTTTCGTTTTTATTAATAGTACACATCGATGCGATCTCCTTGTAGTGCGGCGGCGTTCGCAGTGGGAATTCCGTCGGCCATCGTTAGTAATTTCACGTTTGACGCAGTGTACAATGGTCTGTGCGAAGGCGACGATTTGGACACGACCATAAAACAGCTTGTTGAACAGGTTGTAGAAGACTACAAGAAATCCGAGTTATTGATCCGCTTGCCCGGTTACATTCCAATGCCATCTTATACTGGGACGCAGCTTTACCCCGATTCAGGTGTTTCAACGAAGCCCCTAAAATTGCTAAATGCATGCGCCACAACGGTTGGAGTAAATCATTTGAATGGTTTCGATTTTTCATTGATGAAACATCATCGCAATGTGGTTGATGTTCCTCTTGTCGTTCGAAAATCAATTACACCAAGAGATGTCTTCCTTTCAAATCTTGGTATTCTGAAAGAAATATATGAAACTCATAAAGCGCTGATGGTCTCCTTTGGAGGACAGAATTTAGTGGGCATAGAAGAATGGGGGAATCCATTACCTGATGGTTGGATAGCGATAGTGTGCGGAGATCCGGGGACGACATTACCCGAAAGATTTTACGTGTGTCCCAGAGAAGCGTACATTCCAGACCTAACTAATGCGGTAGACGCGGTGATGGGAAAATTGGTAAAGGGAACTTCAAATTTATTCATTTAATCAGCCAATCACTGTTATCGTCATTCCAGCTAATTACGTCATACTGTCGTTATTGCCAGGGATATGGTACTTGCTCGGAATGCATCGGTCACGGAAAGCCTTTCATCTATGTTCCACGGCCGCAATTTATCGAGGAACTCGGGTTGAAGCGTCTCATGGAGATACAAGGTTCATGCGTTGAAATGTCCAAAGAACATTTTGAAACAGGACAGTGGAAGAAATATATATTACAAGCGTCCCGCATGTCGGGCGTTTGCGAAGACGTTGGCAAAAGGTTAACGCATGATGGCGGCAAGGTGGCCGCAAAGTTACTAGAAAAATTTTTGGATGCACGTACTGTGACTATCAAGAAAACCAGGAACGCCACTAATTTGGTATTTAACAGTGGCGCGGTGGCGCAACTTTCATAATCATCATTATTTTTATTAATAGCTCAGGGATTAATTCTTAGAATTCACACCATCATTTCAATAGAAAATTTTTTATCTCGGTTAAAGTTACTCACATATATATATTTCAATAAGAGTCTCCATTAAACCTAGCCAATGATTGGTAATCAAGAAAATATACAATATTCAATTGGATGCTTCTATTGTTTTTTTTTTTTTGTTGTTGTTTTCGTCTTGCGATGTGTGATAACGCGTCGCCGACTGAAGTGAGTCATTGCGTCCGATGGCGATCGTGTTCCACTCCTATCGGTATTTCACATGTGGATGAAGATTTGCGCGCAATTCTGAGAATCAACAATCAACGTGAAATATCTACCTTCTCGGGTGAGGACCTGCAATCACGTTCAATCATCTTTCGGCACGACTCTGTTGGCGTCTTCCGAGACCCTCTTAATCTTACCCAACTCGAAACACCTATCATAATCATGATGCCTCACAAATTCTGTTAATATCCACAAATTGACCAAGAAGAACATTATGCTTGCTATCCAAATCCTCAGAAATGTATTCTCTCCTAGGAATTCGACTTGGTAAGCCTGATAAAGCCAGATTGCCTGTTTGAAAGATTATAATTCGGTGGATGTTTTTTTTTAAAGCCATTCGAAGAAATGTCAACAGGCATTTATTTACCTGACCACCGAGCCACGCAATGAACATCAACAATCCTTTATATTTAAGATTGATTTTCGTGGATTGAACAACGAGGGGGAATAAACAGATGTACCACATAAAGTACTAAAAGAAATTTCGACGAGACAATTGACTTGGATTAATGTCAACTTGGATTTTCACGAACCTTTGGGCACCTACCTGGGAAGTGCAAACTTTATTGTACATCACGAATGCAAAAGTCTGAATGAAACAGGCGAAGAATATGTCCTTGCCAAATACGATCCCTAACAAAGAGACTACGCCGACCTGCGGTAGAAAAGGGAGTAGACCTAAAAGCGAGCCCTTCGAGATGTTGAATGTGAGATAGATGTAGTAGAACCATATGGAAAAATTGTGCCGAGGATCTTTACGCGTCAAATGGTGGAGATAAGTTTCGTCAATGAACTCTTGTCGATACCTTTTAGCAGTTTCAAGGGTGGATGTTAAATTTCACCTTACGTGTAAGCATGTTCAAGTTTTCGAATTCACAGGTCAAACTCACGTATAATACATCATCCCGTTCAACAAGAAAAAGACTCCTCCGCTTAACAACGCAAATCTGATTCGCATCGGTGTTACAAATCTCAAAATCTTACAATACCAATATCTCCATGAATTTATATCATATTCTCTCTCTTTACCCTTTCTTCTCAGTCCTTTGTAATCTTCATCGTCCAAGAGGATCAGTAACGGGAGCGCGTAAATAATTGGGTATATTTTAAAATGAACAGAGAATCCATATAAGATGCTCGCCAAGGATAATTTTTTTACTAGAATCCAATACAAAGTTAACAAGACCATTGCTCCCAGTAAAGACTCCGCGTTTCCACGCGTTGAAATATTCGCTACAACCGGATTCAGAAGCCATAACGCGGAATGATTCACCGCCTTTTGTTTTTCTAAACCTCTTAGACAAAGTATTTTATGTATCAGAACTCCCACAACAATGTCCGCTAGTGCAAACACGATTTTACCAAATGACTTGTGAATGTATATGTTTGGCGTCAGCAAGTAAGCAAGGAGAGGAGTATATCGGTAAGTTGGTCGTTTATATGGACTTTCTCCCAGTGTGACGAATCGCGCTGCGTCAGAGAAAACTCGGTAGTCCACGTCCGTATATTTAACTCGCATATGCTCGTCCTGCCATTCGCCATATATCAGTAATGCTAAACGAAGGAAGACGGCAAGTATGCATATGGTAGTGAATTTTAACTTCGCAAGGAGCATTATAAAGTTGTAAAGGAAATAAAAGAAAATAAGCAAACATAACACCCACGTACTACATGTCTATCACATGTTTACGAGTTACAAAAATGTGTCTATATATAGGCTAATATATGGGTCGGTGTGATCTTTTATAAATGAAATACAGTATGTAAAAAATTCGCGCCTTTCGACTTTTTCCCTTCACGCAAATATGACCGCCCAATCGAAGCCCGTGATTGTTAAACCAACATCGCTTCTGACGTTATACCTTACGCAGTTGGCCGCACATCCCCTGAGAACAAAAGTTATAACCTCGGGCGTCTTACTTGGTTTACAAGAATTTTTGGCCCAAGTTTTAAGCGGGTCAGGCAGGAGAAAGGGAAAAACCAGAGACGGTGAACATATTACGTTGGACAATAGGATCGTTAAAATGGCGCTATACGGTTGGATTCTTTTTCTTTCTTTGGCCTTCGGAGTCAACTTTTATTTTCATTCACGTGTCGTCTTTTAGGGTTCTTTATAAACGGTCCCCTTAACCACATCCTCTTCGATGCATTAAATAAATTATTTCGCGGCCGTTCCAACTCATTGAAGTTCCTCGTTTCTCTGTTAATAATTGTACCGATCCAGAATATTGGTATCTTTTCGTTCCGCAAGTGTTTATTTAATTTAGCCTCATAATAACTGAACACAAGCCAAAATATCTTTTTTCCAGTGCATCTGGCGGCAACAGCGTTTATCAATGGTGAACTGGTGATAACTTCTGTCAAAAGGTCCATTCTTCCCACCCTGAAATCAGCTTGGGTGGGCATGATATTATCTACAGCATTTGCTCAAAAGGTTTTACCGCCGCAATTGTGGGAACCTTTTTTCACTCTTATTGGGTGAGTGTTCTTGCATCATAACCTTTTGTTGCAGCGCTTTGAATTGTGTAACGTATTGTAACAATTAAATCCCTCTCATAGGTTTTCGTTTGGGCTATACGCTAATACAACCCAAAAAATGGTCTTGCGACTAAAAGGGAGATCGAGATAGAGAATGATAGCCTTGATCATATTCATTTTGAAACCACAAAATTATCGTGATATTTATTACAAAGAATGAGAAGCCTCAAGATGTAATAATAATAAGCATTAGATTAATTTTTGTAAAATTATAATACCATGATCTATTTGTTGACACTAAAATCATACAATATTGGTGGCTTCCTATATCGTTTACAATTCCGCGATCTACATTGATGATTGGCTGGATAAGTAGTATATGGGAATGCTTTTATCAACATGTGAAGAATAGAATAATCGACAATATAATTAATAAAAAGTGTGATCTACTTATATAACAACATGAACCAATAACATTGAATCGACTCAAGAATTAAGCGGCGAACATCGAAACACGTGGCATAGTCTTTTGCTTATTCGGACTGTACTGTCAAGTAAATATCTACAATGTTATATAGACATTCACATGATAATTAACTTATTTGTACATTAGAACTATACTACTTAAAAAATAGGAGAAATTTATTAAATTAAACAAAACAAAATCTTAATTAGGTATTCTAAGTTAGATTTAAGAAATAATATTTTATATCTTAATAAATTGATACTAGAACCTTTATCTATTAGGATCATTATCTAGCACTTATTATTATTATTATTATTATTATTATTATTATTT